AGCGCATGGAGACATGATAAACAGAAAAGTTATGTTACGTTCCAGTTTTCGCCACTTTATTATTATATCAGTGGAAATACACCCCCAACTCAAAATCTCTCTATCTCTTTCCCTCTCTCTCTCTCTCTCTCTCTCTCTCTCTCTCTCAAGAAATCGTCTTCAAATGTCTTCAATCAATATTTATTGGTTACCTGTTACCTTATAGTATACATGGATATTATACCTCTTCATTTTTAATGAGCACATACGTATGCAATTTGAACATTGTAATGGGCAGGGTACATGTTTTCATGCAATCACAGAAAAACACACTAATAGCAATGTTCTGTTGACTGCCAATTTGGTTTTGGTAAAACTGGTTTTAACCTAAAAACTTTGAAAACTTTGCAATAGGTCAAGAGTGATCACGTGTTCTGAAAAAAAATCAAATTTTATAACATTTAGCATACATGGCAATACAAGAGCATATAACATGTTTGAAAACGTTAATACGTTGATACGTTGATAGACATTCACTCGGGTATGAACAATGTCGTAAAAACGTCGAGTTGGCAAGGTTCCTCGCTTTCATGCAGAAATTTTAAGACTCTTGTGGAGGTGAGATGGTACCAAACATGTTATATGCTGGTACTTTCAACCCACCAAACATGCACTCTTCCGTTTCAAATGTTTTCAAATAAATGTTTAACATTTCTCAACGCAGTTTCTATTTAAATTGTTCATAAAAATACCTGCAGACTTTTTTGCCTTCACCTCAAATATCAGATGGTTGATATTTTAATAATATATACATCATTGTGTCGTCATTTTCCATAGTATTTAGATATTTTGGCGAAAAATGTTAATCTAGAACGAAGACAGTTTTATATATCCTCAATATAATAATTCATTTTATTAGCATTACTTCCCCTTGTATTTAAATTGTTATTCAGTAATAAATGAAAGAAAAATGAGAACTGCTTGTGTGTTTCTATTTAAAATACGCAAGTTTCGATATTATCTCCTTACTGCACTCTTTTGTTACGGAAGGGAGTTTTGTCTCCTCGTAAACCAGTAGGTGGGGCAGTTATTTTATTGAACACGTTACATCATGGATATGGCGGTCTATTGTAACTGTTTGTCGGACTGCACTCATAAACTCGAAAATTACCTAAATTACATTTGTAAGTAAAGACGTCATTTTTTTCTACCAAAAAATCATAACAAAAGAAAATAATATGTTGACGGTGCGACCGTTGGGGCGAGCGCATTGTTCACTTCACTTTTGTTAGCAGCTGCATTTCCATAAACAAAGTTTAAAAAGTGCAAAAATTTTAACAAAGAACGTTTAATCTACTATCTGTATGCAATATCCATTAAATTAGGGTGAGTTTATTTTTTGTGAACTTTTAGTTGTTGTTACCGCGCGAACGAAGTTAGCAGCGAGAACAACAAGCGATGCATTGTTGGTCCAGAATTACTGCGGAAAAAATTCTATTGAATGAATGTGCAGTAGTCCGAATTTTCTCTTCGCCCAGGCGTTGTCATAAGAGCTCGCAGTGACGAGCGGCGCTTCGCGCCGCTCGCTGCGCTCGATATAAGTAGATAAGACTTATCAGACGAGGAAGAGAGATAGATCTCTATTAAATACGTATGCATCTGGGGGTCGTAACATAAAGCTTGTTAAGTTTTTGACTTAATTAGGGTTATCAGTATATGTTTTAGGTGCAAACTTAAGACCTGCCTAAGTACTACTTATGTATGTCTTAAACTGTAACATAAAACGGACTTAGGTAGGTCTTAGCTAAGTCAAACTTATGTTCAAAATGTTTGCTATGAATCATCCTAGTTTTTCAATTTATTTATATATATATATATTTGTAAAAATGATTTAGTTGCGTTTTTAATCACATATTTATTAAAGCTGACGTCCTTACCTATCGGTTTTAGCTAGGTTAGATTTGATTCGTATTTAATTAAAGGTAATTCTGTTTAAATTCTTCGAAATACAATGTATTTGAAAAAAAATATTGCACGGTCACAAAGTGGCACTAATGGTTCATGCGTGAATATTGTTATCACTCGAGAAAAAAAAGTGCAAAACAATAGGGACATTTTGAAATTTTTTTTCCCTCCCATATCAACAAGCAGAGACTGCAGACGTTTTATGATATACTTATTTACAATTTAATGAAGGATGGAAAAGAATTCGTATATCTCCAACTTATCAACAATCTCTCTCTCTCTCTCTGGAACGTTAGTGAACGGTAGTGAACTCTGTCTGAATCCTCGCTTGTTGCGTTCTACATTCAATCTAATTTACAGAAAATCTTATTTGTTTTCTAGTCATCATCCTTTAATTCACCGACAATTTTTAAAATCATTTCATCTCATTTTTTTTCACAGTGAACAAACAAATCCATGATTACTGTATACAGTTTACTTATTTAATGATTAGTGTTTATAACCTAAGTCCCACTAATATTTCAAACGTATCCCAAAAATAATATTTTGCATTTACATGTATATTTCATTTAGAGAGTGATATTGGAATCAGTGATGAATACCCCTCCCCCCCCCCCCCCCACCCCCACCTTCCCGACGAAAAACTAAAATTCTTATACCAGTATATTAAATATAGAAAATTATTTTTTAATGTATAATATAAATAGAGGAATGTTTTAACATAGAAAGTCAACCTTAAATAGTTCTAAATATATGCTTAAGAAAGTTATGACATACTTAAGTCACCTCTACCGGCCGCCTAACTTTTGCTAAGATTGTAGTTACGGTCTTAAGTTTAAGACTGTACTTAAGTCCTACGTAAGCATGGTCTTAGACTTAGGGCCGGTACACATGATAAGGCTTGCCTTGTAAGTCATGGAACTTAAGTTCTTGCCTTACCGTGTGTACACCCTTAATACACGGTTTTTAGGAGCCTTCAAGTCTGACTTACAAAAAGAACACTGCTCTATTTCTTAATACAAGACTTAGCTGAAATTTTCTTCTCATCCAATGAAAATCATTTGCCCAAATGTCATTCTATTTTTATCAAACCAAACACGTGGGTATATTGAAGTGAACTCAAAGTATTTTCGAATTATGTAATGTAAATATCCACAAAGGCTTCTGTTCTACCTCTTTCTTTTTTTTAAGAAGTGTGAATGTACTTGTTGATATAATTATTACAAATCTTAGTAATGTATTCTTCTATTTTAATGCGGACTGAATGCACTATTTATGTCAGGAAACACATGGAAGTTATGGAAATGTTGTATATAATCTTGTAAGTCTTGCCTTGACGTGTGGACACGAGAGCCGTACGTCTTGCAAAACGTAAGGTTTTAGACTTATAAGGCAAGCCTTACCGTGTGTACCGGCCCTTAAGGACATACGCAACGTAGTTTGAACTTTATTGTCTTTTTCCCTGGAGTTGAAGAGTTCCAATACTTAAAGGAACTGTGTGCTACATTTTAATGTCTATATATGCTATTGTACACTTCTTCTAAAACAAGTTTGGATAAACAAAATATCTAGAATATATGTTTAGTAATTTTTGTATATTTTTCTTTGAATTATACAAGAATTTCCATCAATTGATATCTTTTCAAAACCCCTGGTAACGCATGCTGATTTTTTGTCTACAAACATCTGATGGCACTATAATCTTTAATTAAGAATATCTCGAAAAATTATCAGTAGGTAAGGTACGTTGCGTATGTCCTTAAGTACCCTTTATGTTACAACCCCCAAGGGCTCGTAACATAAAGCTTGCTAAGATTTTGACTTAAGTAGGGTCATAAGTATGTTTTAGGAACAATCTTAGGACCTGCCTAAGTACTACTTAAGTATGTCTTAAACCGTAACATAAAACAAACTAAGCCAGGTCTTAGCTAAGTCAAACTTAAGTTCAAAATATTTCTTAGGAATCACCCTAGTTTTTCACTTTATTTACATACATAGCTAAAAAATGATTCATTTAGGTTTTGAATTAAATATGTATTAAATCTAACGTCCACACTTACCGATTTTAGTAACTTATATATTAGATTTCGTATTAAATATATAATTCTGTTAAAAATTATCGATATCACAAAGTGGCAATAGTTGTTCAATGTAAATGATTGAGTTTTGTTTATTACTCAAGACTGCAATGTTTTCTGTTTACCTTTTGTTGTTATTCTTTTGTTTTGTAAAATGTTCACTCGCCTTGTCATTATCGCAGACCTGGCACGGTAACCGAACTTCTATCTACTTGAAATAAAACTCTGTTAAAGAAATGGAAACAATAGGGGCATTTTGAATTTTTCCCCACGATGTATCAGCTAATGTCAGCAAGGAAAGACTGTAGACACTTTATGATATTTAAACACACATTATTATTACTAATTTTTAATTCAATCAAAAATTGAAGAGAATTAATTTCAGAAGAAACTTTTTCGTATGTCCTAATCTTTCAACATCTCTTTCTCTCTCTCTAGGAAGGTAGTACCTGTGTAGTTCACCGATTTGGTGTCACGTGATTTTTTGCTTACCTTCAAACTATTCATGTATTACATCGTCATGAGAGTCAAAATTAGTGATATATATATATTTTTTTATGAAACAATAATTTTAACGAAAAAGGAAGAATGCATAAAACGACATGTACATGTATATCAGTTTAAACTTCAATTTACTTTTGTCGTCTCTTTTTATATAACTTTTAACAAATGGTTTCTTTCACGCCTCCATTATTTTCAATATAGCAAAGATAACATTAGTTCTACTACTAACTTTTAGACTAAGTACATACATGTACAACTCGGTCACGAGATTGAAAAAAAAGGGGACATACTACTTCCTCAACACTTACATGTAACTATCTCATTGTAGAATTTTAATTCTCCCTCCCATCTCTCTCTCTCTCTCTCTCTCTACGGAGAGAATAAAGCTTAAAATTCCTCGATATGGTTTTAATAAAACAAGAGTGTGTTTAACTGAGTTCTTAAGACAAAATGACATAAATACATGAACAATGGTTATTTAACAGCACCTGACAAACTGTGTCGGACGCGCACTTGCTGAGTCTGTACAAGCACCTTAGGAAACCGAATAGCCTGTGGAGCCTTTGCCTTGATAGGTCTTTTCTTACTTAGTTCCTCATCTACTTTATCTGCAACCTCTTTTCTCTTGATCGCAATTAGAGTTTTCTTGAGGTCGTCCACGCTTGCGCGGGTGTGCATGCGGCGCCACCTATAAAGCGCCTGTTTTGCATGAACCTCTACTGTGTCTCTAAGAAATACATTGTTGATCTCATCAATATCCTGGCGAAGATTTTCCTCTCCTCGTGGTGGGTGAAAGGGTAGGGCTCGGTAAAGGGGGATCCAATCTTTGTCAATATTGACTGAGGTTATTCGAGTGGCCCTCTCTAATTTATCTGAAAGAATTTAAAAAAAAATCATAATTTGTACTTTCAATGTCACTTTATATAATTACTCTTTGACCTTCAATATTCGTTCCATAGAATTAAAAATTCATTTTTCATTTTAAAAATTGGGATCGTCATCCTAATTGAAAGGTATTTGAAATTTTGTGTTGGAAAAGCAATCTGTAAAAAATATTCTTAGTTACATGCACGTATACGTGTATTTACTAAATAAATTATAAATACATGTAGAAAAAGTAAAGTATGCTGAAAAGTGGAGAAAAAAGTACTGGAAATTAAACGTTAATTATTATAAAGTATGTATTTTAGTAATCAATTAAAAAAAGTTAAATGAATTATGGTATCATTCATGCATACATGTATGTATGTTAGATAATGAGTTAGAAAAGGAAGATTTCAGAGGAAAACTGTCAAAAATTCACAAATAGTGATGCAAAAAAAAAAAAAAAATCTCAAAGGTACTAGATTAAAAATGATAGAAAATAAAATAAAAGGAAACTGCTACGTGGTTAAGAATTACAGATTGATCTACATGAATCTAATTAGTAAGTGGAAATTATAATGTTAGAGTTCTGTGAATATATGAGGAGTTTATTACCCTCATCTGCGAACGGCAAGTCAGGAAATGCTGTAAATAGATATCATCTATCATAAAACGTGTAAATTACAATAATGTACAATCATGTATGTGTAGGAAATTTTATACTATACAAAGAACTGCATTAATTATCTTTTAACAAATTGAGGAAGAGTTCATTATACAATAAATAGAAAATAAAACTTATGTGGCGATGAAAATTATGAAATCGTATGATCTGATTTAAAATTCAATCAACGTGTTTCTACTTATTACAAATAAAGGAAGTAGATATACATGTTACGGTAGACGTTAGCACAATAAAGGATGCACACTGCTTAATGGCCGTAAGGGCCGAGGATAGATCTTAATTTGAAGCCCTTCACTGGTTTTTGGTGACGTCTCATACGAGTAAAAATTCTTGCGAGAGACGATTAAAACATCAAGCAAGCAATCATTCAATCTGAATTCCTTGATTCTACAATATAATTTAATTAAAATCAGATGTTCCGAATCCACTAACGTTTCTCAAACATATTACAAAACCCCAGTCGGTGTCACGTCAGCACATTTCGATTACAGCGAATGAAATCTCCGACGCGGAAATATTTGCTGGTAGTTCGGATGTGTTTCTTTTTCACAGCCAAAGTTTCCGAGTCGAAGTAAAAGAAAACTATGCATAGCCTGGTTCCCTGTCCCTATTTTACTTCGTGTACACCGCAAGGATGAGCCAGGGAACCAGGCTAAACTATGCATAGCAATGGGCGTGCAACGTATGAATGTGACGTGCGGAATATCTTGTATAGTTTGTGCATTTCCGTTTTGCGGTATTTAGATACGAATGGCGGATGGGTGGACTGAACATACAGTTTATATCATAATTAACTTAAATTTACGTAAGACAAAGTACTTAGTATGCATCAGAAAGGTTAAGATGTATCCAGGGAACTATTTTTAAGAGTCGTAAACATAACTTGAATTTGGTTTGCCAAAATTTTTATGTTTATTCTTACTTGAAAGGTCGTGTTGACGTCACTCTGTATAGATGTTGTAACTGATGATTTAGATTCGGTAACAGATTCGGAACATTTTAAATTTTCATGAGATTGTTGAATCTGTCATTTATGAATGCACCTTTCCTTTTAAAATCACTCACCTATAACGGTCCCTTTCTTTTTTCTTGTACCGCCCCCTGCAGCTCCCTTATTAGTGAGTGGCATGTTATAAAATAGTTTCTTCAAAACCTCTGAGCTTGTTTTAAATCTGTGAATTTCTCTCAGCTTGAGAATATTTCTTTCAAGTCTATCACATTCCACTTCCGTTCTCCTCAAATCTCGTCTAGCCTCTCGTAGCTCCTCTTTAATCTCGCGTAATTGGTCTTCTCGTTTGTTTTTCAGTTCACGTCGAAATTTCATGAATTCCAATTTACGTTTTACGTCGTCTGCTTTCCTCTCTAGCACGGGCTTCTTCAGTTTCATTTGTTCGATTTCAGAAATAAGTTTTTCTACTTTCTCCCGCACCTTTAATGGTGACTCGGAGACCTCCTTCCGTGCTTCATCTCTTTGGATCTCCTTGACCTCCATTTCCATTGCTAAGTCATGTAGATCTTCCTTTAACTGTTCCTCTTGTCGCCTTAGGCTTTTTTCTTTAGCTGCAACTCTCTTTAACTCACCGACGCATTCTTGGATATCCCGCTTGCAAACTTTAAATCGATGATCCAAATGCGACACTCGTATTTGTAAATCACGCAATAATTTTCCATCAATTTCCTTTTTCTTTTCCAAGTCTGTAATATCGAATTGAATAAATGTTGCATATCCATCGTCTGCTTGGATCCATTTCCGCACTCCTATACAAGCGTTTCGTATATTTTCACACGCTCCTGAAAACATCACTAGAAATGGCACGTGACCACATTGCACGCGCTCGGCTATTCGTCGTGGGACCGATCCCAATTCCGTGATTCGTATGCCGTCGTTTTCAAATTTATCCATCATAACTGGGATGTCGTCTAGATTGATTTTAATAGCCTCAGCGAGCTCGCGTCGTTGCTTTTCGTAGTTTGTAGCAGTTTCGAGATACGAATCTCCACTGACACCACAAAAACTCAGACAATATTTCTTCATGTATCCCAACACGATTAAAATTCCATCAATGATACTCTTGAATTTTTGACGAATATAGAGATCAACTTTATTTATAACTTCTAAAGTGGTTTGAACAGCTTCCTTGTCCAAATTGACAACCATCGTTGGATCACCGATTGACCGATCATACAAATCGAATACGTCCTTCAACTGTTGCTTTGATACAAGAATCCCTGTCTTGGCATGCGTCATAACGATCTCCAGCGCCGGAAGCCAGATTTTAATTTCTTCATCCGGGGATCTGTCCATTCCATAGTACTCCAGTTCTATGTAGGAAAGATGGTTTTCGATCTTCTTCAGCGCCTCTTCCACGGCCTCGTAAAAACTTTGGAGATTCTGAGGACGTTCTAGTGTCAGGTTCTCTATCGTCTGTCGCTTCCGGTGGAATGCTAGACCTGTCTGTAGTGGCATGTCGGAGTTCTGCCTCTTCACTCAATGAAGTTACATAACAACCCCAGTCTCGCCAACGTTTAATTCTGAATCATTTCTCCACTGAATTTTTAAAGTTCTGGAACAGTGTTGCAATCTCATCTAAAAACATTTTGTGTCACTTTAAAAAAGAAATCATACAATTTTCCATGTGTTCAAAACAAAGTCAAAATTCAAAACAATCCTAAAAACGGAAATAATAAGGATAATGACAGAACCACTTTCTTTCTAAAATAAGAAATCGTTCAAGCTTTAAGTCTGTATTATTATGGCAATCTTAACATTTTTGATATGATAAAAACGAAAGAAGATTAGATATTCGTCATTGTAAAATCTTCTTTCTTTTTCATCATAATTGGTTACACCCTTATAATTAAGGGATTTGATATTTTCATGAGGTCCAGATTTAATTGAAAATTAAATTCTTTGTAAGAGGATTATGGTAGAAATGATGTCGGTTGTAACATATTCTGTATACATAGCCGTAGAAACCGAAGGCACGGAGTGCCCCCCCCCCCCCTTCCAATATAACACATGTAATGTCTTCTTCTTTTTCTTTCTTTTTTTCCTAGTAATGAAATGATATTTTTGCTTGATAGTCCCCCCCCCCCCCAAACTGTAAATATTTAGTTGAGCCCCCAGCCGATATTGCTTCCAACAGGCCTCGTATAATGAGATCTGAAAATTGGGAACAAAGGTACATGTAGTTAATTTCCTGAACTTTTCTTTACAGAGTAAAAATAGGCCAGATAGAATAAAATGAAAAAGGTCATTTATTTGAATGTCAAATACTTATATTAATGTATACCCAAGAATGTAATAATGACATATGGGTACGCTGTTATGGATCAGGCTGTACATGTGTTAAATGTACATTTGTAACTACCTAGTATGTAATTATTTAAACTTACATTTAATTACAATTTTACATGTTAACAGGTTTTTTTATATTTTAACATAGAAAAATAAATGTGATAAAAATATGTCTAGCCATCCTTACATGTACCATTCATTAATGCCTTAATACAGCTTTTAATCCCCCCCTTTCCCGCGTTCCCCCCCCCCCTTATACTCACATAATATGACACATACCGATTATTGATAACCAAATGCATTACCAGTTTCCTTGAGTTACTTCTCTGTATTCCAAATCAATTTTATATAACAATATTGTTAATGTTAGACGCCATTACACACTGTTACTAAGAGCGGTATACCGGAAACCCTACTAGTCCCCACTGCCAATGCATAATTATTGTTCCGCTTAATGGCTCTTTTTCACATTGTCTTATAAGTGACCCCGCCAAGATTACCACTTTCAATTAATCGCTTTACATAAATACACAGTCATTATTTTTAAAGGGTCGATATTAATCTATTTGCAACCTCTCACGAATTACCTTTCAGGTTGGTTTAAAGTTCAATAAATATTGTGGATTTTACATTTTAGTTTATGAACATGTATGTGTTAATTGATTACTTGGAGACATACTTGTTAGTAGCTCTTTTTCTTGATATGAATTTCATTTTTGTTTCTTTGATTTCCAAAGATATTTACAAATTTTCTGTTAAAAAAATCAAATAAATATATAAACGAGATAGCTGAAGAATATATACAAACCAATTAAAATTTCAACCCAACTAAATGCATCTCTCTCTCTCTCTCTCTCTCTCTCTCTCTCTCTCTCTCTCAATTCTCATTTAAAATTAATAAATAGAGACGAAATAAAGAAAATAAATCAAATTTATCATTTCTTTTTAAATCGTGTGTGTCCCGATCAAAGAAGGATTTAAACTCTAACTAAATAGGAACTCTCTTTAATATATACGTTAAGAAATTTTGTAATTTAAAAGGACGTCTGTGTTTTTTTAATATTTGGCAGAGCACAAAGGCGTCATTGTTATGGTGTATTGATTTAAAACTTTTCCGATTTCAGGGTCGATGTTCAAGTGTCTTTTTTTTTTTTAAATTTGACAATTCATCGGCCTTTTCTTTAAATATGTACTTGATACTACCAAAAGGAGCATTAACGTTTATGTACAATTGCAAATATTTTTTTTAGAGTAAAGAAAAATTCCTTTATAGTAATTTTCTTATTTGCTTACTTTTAATTGTTCATTCAGCTATTGTTAGTAAAGACAGAAGCGATATGCACACACATGCGTATGTAAATTTTTGTCATAGATTAAGTGTGTCAAGTTTAATTTCCATTTTCAGAAAAAGAGAGACGTACTAGTACGCCGTAGTAAGAATCAACAGTTTAAAAAGCAAGGCACCATTTTATACATATACACTGTGGTAAATTTACTTCAATTTCCCCCTACCTTTAGATGTATCATTTTGTGTCCCGTCCGTGGTGTCCAAAGCCGTTTATATTTATTTGGTTGCATGTACCGTTCAGATTGAATGAACACTCTACTGTGGGATTAAATTATTCTGTATACCTACACCATTAGTGTTCAATTACTGATTCTAGGTATATCCTATGTCAGTTTTTAAAAAAATCTAGATTTAAAGGTTTTGAACAAGGTATAGACTGCCCATTTAACAGTGACGAGTTATGTATACTGTAATTCTTCAGGATAGATAAAAAATGTAACAGGGGTATCTCAATAAAGATTTATATATTAGTTATTTATTTTTGAAAGCATTTTTCATTTTTTTTTTTTTTTGTCTCGCTTGATTGTGAACCAATTATTTTACACTTTTTTCTTGAGATCTCATTTCGTAGGGAGATTAAAAATGGAAGCAAAATATACCGTGAATGCAAATCACCCCCCACCCCACCCCCTGATAAAAAAAATAATAAAATGATATTGTAGATTTAGTATGAAAAACGCGAAATGATAATAAAGTAAAAAAAAAAAAGGACTACTCCTCCAGGAATGTATTGGTATCTCTGTCTCAAAACTCTTGAAAAGAAAAGTGCTCCCAATTGCAATCCCCTCTGAAATCTAGAGATGGTATTTTAAAACCCATTGATAAGGCAAGGAATTTTATATACATGTATAATACATTTTTAAAACAAGTTTATATATTTCACAATTGTTGCTGAGCTAAAGAGGTTCCTCACACAGATGCCCCATCCTCTTAAATGTTGAAGATTTAAAATTAATGAACAAAATATTCTTGATCAGTCAGATATTTTTGAAATAAAAATAAAATTGTTGAACTTAAAGGAAGCTTTTAAAATATTTTGGCTCGGATGAGGATAACCTAAATGACAGGCAGCAAACAGTTTTTCATCATCATTTAAAACCGTTGATGCGAGAGAAACTCGAGGGTCTCTTATCTACCGCTTTTTTTTAAAAATATCAGTGTTATTACTGGGTATATATATATATAATTGCACCCTCTTTTTTCCGATGATACATCGTTGTTTGTATATATATTGCAGATACCGATGTGGTTAATTCTACATATAATCAATTTTTTTGTTTAGAACATATCTTATTGATTAGATCAAAAGGAAACAAGTATAACCAAGTATAACATAAATATTGAAAAACACTTGGGCTGTTATTTATAACACTAAAATAAAAACAAATAGAAACGGAGTTTTTTGCCAAATATCAGCTTTGGTGATAACGATGAAGTTATTGAGAGTTTAATAATCAAATACATGTACGGCATGAAATAACCTTAAAACTTTGTAAAACTGTCTTACTACAAAATTTCACTTCTTCTAATGATGGTTTATTGCGACAGATGACAAACTATCACCTTTTTATCATCTTCAAATCAAAATTTAAAACAAATGGACCACTTATAGAAGCTGTTAATATTCAAAAATATTTAATATTTATCACAGGATAGAAAATATACTATAAGCATTGTTTTATTTAAGCTGTAATCATTTTTGGGCGCTTTTCGCGTCCGCTTCTCGTCCGCTAAACCAAGTACACGCTGACATTCATAAAATTAATACAAAAAGAAGCTTGGCTCCTAAAGGGCTTATTCCTGATTACGCTAATCAGCTGATAAAGATGATAACGTCAAATTTTGAGTATGTTTACAGTAATATTCACTGTAAATTAAGCATCAGGTGAAATATATATACTAATAAATGAATAAAATTAATCTGTTGTCCAGACATTAAAAATTGTGGTTTTTATTGAACATGTAAATACAGTGATATTGAGTACATGTAATTGAAGCTACTTTGATGATCATAATGGAAAGATTTAGTCAAAAGCAACTGATTGCCATTATGAGAATCATTAAGAAAATATCAATAAGGGAAATGTATCTCATAAAATAAAATCTCTTCAAGGTCCTCAAAAGTTTAACTTAACAGATGAAAGAATTATTTCACAATGTTTATCAGGATATTAGTGTTGATGCCATTATTTATAAGGGAATTTTTTTCTGAGATAGAAGACAACAAATTTTCTTTTGTAAAAACAACACAACAAGAAGCAGACACACATATATATAGCCAATTTCTCTTGTCAAGAAAAAGAAACATCAAAATAATATGTGGATTTGAATGCCTTGTACAAAGTTACTGCAGTGGATTTGAGATTTGTGGCGGAAGAATTTGCAGACTAAGGAATGAATTGTTCCTTTTCAACGTCTCGACGTATTCATCAGAGAACGAATGTCAACAATATAGAAAGGTAACACTAAATCAATCCTTATTTAAAGTAACTGATAAGTGTAAGTCTTCTAACAGTCAACTTGACATACCAAAATGAATGCCTTTAATTTACTTTTTTAAGGGTGCAATCACTTCTGAAACTATTAATATTTAGATCATAGATGTTTGCATTAAGCCTGCATAAAACTTGACGGAAAAGCGCTTTTGCATACAAATTTAAACTTTTTAAAAAAAAAAAATCATGGCCCACAGGGCTATGGTGGAGTCATGATTATAACACAGGTTCAAATTTTTACATAGAAATATCAATAAAATTCTTCTTTCGAGAAAAGCTGGATTACCGTTAGTTATATTAATAGGAGGATATGGAGATGAAAAACTATGCAAGAAATGTTTCCATGGCTACGTTAGAG